ATTTCTTCGGTATTTTGAATGTTGAACACCAAGAAAGAACTCAACGAGAACCACTTGGTCACACATAAATTCACTTTTCTTAGCTTATATACCATCTTATTATTGATCATTTTAAGTTGTGGCTGATAATTCTAAAACTAGTCTAAGATTAAAATTGCCAATACTTCTTAGTTGAAAAGATTGAATGACAATTCATATTTATCTGCATATTTTGTGTCTTTTCCATTRGGTAACTATGACTGATGGCTATAACTCAAGGCAGGCAATGGGAAGCCAAATTCTATTGGATACAAAAATGGACCTTTCCAATGCAGAGCTAGGGCATCACGGTTTGCTTTATACAGCGAAGTGCATCATGGCATCAACACTAAAAGTTTTAAGGAATATTTCTTTCTTTTGTAAAATGAACCGTCGAGAAAGCTTTAAAAGACGATTTTCTTAAACACGATGTGTACACACTCGAGTATCTGATCCTCAAAAAACTGTTTGATATAGTGATCAATCGAAACGCAACTGAACGCCAAAGGTTTCCTTTTTTCGTCAACCCCATGGTCATCCAATTGATGCCATCCAATAGAAGAGAGGCTATGAGGACAAAACATTTCCAATATGCCACATATAACATCACCATTTTGCACTGTTCACAGATTCTCTAGATATCACTCAGTGTTTTCATTGACGGGATCCGCATTCTTTTCATGTCGTTCTTTACAGGTGTTGTACAAATATATATTTAATAGCTTAACGGGCTTGACTTTATAAAAATTCTCTTTTTTGATTGTAGTTTTGATTTTACTATATACATGTTTGTTTTGATATGTACAGTTAAAACGTCGTAGTCTCTTCATTGCTGTCTCCAGGATTGTTATTAGTCGTCGGTTGTGAAGTGCCGTTCAACTGAAGGGAGTTTTTTCGCGCAGGATAGTCTGTAGGCTTGCTAACAACCTTGCGCTCAATGAAGAAGAACGATAAAGCAGCAAGTATAATGGCGTCGAATAACGAGATAATTGCTATCCAGTATGCCCATTTTACTTCACAATGTCCTGTTTTGTACGAGCCTGAGTCAGGACCGCACACTGAAGTAACCTCTGATGAGTCCCATCCACTTGGATAGATGAGGCATGTCAGGAAAAGACTGAAAGCTGAAAAATCGAAAAAGAAACCATTATATAAATAGGTCAGTGTACGGTAATACGAACAGCAAACCAACTTGTCTGACAACGTTTTAAACTTGCGACGATTTTTTTTGGCATGCGAGAAAAGTTGGTACGCTCGGCATCAGTTTCAAACTTGTTTTGCAGTAATGTTGCAAGAATATTTGGACTGTTTTGCTGCTCGTATATTACGTATTCTGTACACTTGTAAATACTCTCACATATTTGTTTATATATACTTCGCTATATATTTTTTTGTATCATTTTTTGTGTCATATATTTTGATTTATTATAGCGACATCGGAATATAATAGATAAAATATGAGATCGTAACGAGGATTTCAAACAGCACGGCTGCTAGAAAAACAAAAACTGAGAAGATCGAGACTAAAAATGATGTTACGCCAGGCTGGCAGTATTATTCTAAACAACGGCACTTCAAAAACAATACTCAATGCGAGGATATATTATAAAAGCTTCATTTCCTCACTAAGGATTATACTTGCTTGAGCTCTTTAGATATAAACAAACATCAGGTAAATCAAGAAGTGTCTAGTAATTTTTGCGATTTTTTTTTAGAGACAAGAAATAAAAACCACATTTTGCAACGCATCAAAAACGTTGTTAATATAGTAGCGTGGGAAGCTTCTGGTAAATGAGYCTGTCATTATTTTCAGTCAACCCAAACGTTGAATAAACTTACTAAGCTACTATTTACATTGGCAATTTTTTTCAGTGGTTCAGCTCAAAAAAACTAACTTGAAATAGAGGAAAATACAATTAATAAAATATGGAGAAACGTTGTCAAGTAGCAACGTTCTTGCATGTAATTATACTTGTCAATTTTTGTAATATCACTTATAACTGAAAAAAGAGCTTGCCGATATTCGTATAGCTCAGGTTGCTGACATGTTTTACATGTCCTGTTGGCGTTTAAGGTATTCAGAAAAGTATATATGGAGTATTTATTCGCTAAAATAGTATGTACACTTCGTTATAAAGGACGATAAGTSATTGACGAAAAATAATTTGCATAAGCTGCTAGCTGTATATAACAAACAATCGCTTTCAGCAGGTCAAAAASGAGTTGACAGTACTTCAAATTGTTTCAACAATAATATTTCGAAAAATTCATTCATGACTTGATTTGACAATCGCGTCATATTCGAGTTTCGAAAATTCTCGATGTTTTCATGCTTGAGAAATATTCAAATCTGAAGAAATATTAATCAATACTTTCATAACATCATCAAATAACTTGAATTGACACTGACAATTTTATGACATATTTTATAGAATATTAAAATGCCAAAAGTCAAAAGAAAGTAAAAGTTACTTACCAGTAAAGACCTGAAATCCTGTTGCATATCGAAATCCATAGCCCCATCTATCTGAGCGCAGRAACCAATACACCGCCATCACAATCACCGATAAAAACGTCGAACAAATCGCTAAAGCTACCAAAATCGTCGCTGTCTTCCAAGCACCCGAAGGAATTTTATTGAATTCGACCAACTTTGCCGAGCACATTCGCCAGCTTTCGGCACATTGACGGTAAAGTCCAAAATTAATGATTTCACCGCTTTTCAGATTCGTTCCTCCAAGCCATTGCGGCTGTACAAATATCACAATCAACATTACTGCCAGACAAATCGTGAAAATAGTCCATAGTACAATTAGAATACTTCTTGTTCTTGAGCGATGCCATGGCTTAGCCCGACCAACACGACTCATCCTACTACCCTGATCTACGGCCTCTGTGTCATCAGTGCTTTCACCAATGGGGCCCAGTGTGACTGTTGGCTCAAGTTTCAAAGTCTTTGACATCTTTCATTCGAAACAACACACACTTTAATATTCAAAGGTTTTCCCGTAGGGACACTTAGCACCCCGATTGTTAAGAATCTTTTGTCAACGCTTCACTGGAATTTCAATCCACTGTCTTGACGTCAGAAGATTTCATTTGTTTTTCTTGACTTCGGAACTTAAAACGTTATACTCGAGTTCCTGGAGCGAACTGGAGAAATTCAGCCAATAGTAGCAATGCGTGCGCTGTATTCTAAAAGACAACATTAAAAAAAAGTTTGTTTCGAGAACAGCTTTGAATTGGAAATAATGGCATGTCATAGGCAGTTAGTGAATACTATATTGACTTAGTTCTAAAGTCACAGACGAGTTACTACTGATCCAACATCGCTCTATTTTGTCACGATATGGATTTACAACGTCAAGTTTTAATATTAAAAATAACGGCTTAGTAACTTAAATGGAATACTCACATTGTTTACGTAATAAAACGGATTTTTACAAGATTTATATTTTGGTTTATTCAGCCCACATCTAAACAATCTAACGGTGTGGATAACTTTCKCGGTGGTCATAATTTTCGTATTTAAAGTATGGCAGTGTTGTCGGCCTTATTAAAAACTAACACAGGTGCACWAGAAAAAGGAAGTCGCTGTATTTTCTATTAGTTCAAAGRCAGATATCAAAAGGGCTATACTCCTTGGTTCAGCACATCAACAATATTAATATTTCAGTGACATCATGGATAATAAAAGCATAGTGGCATCTAAACATTTGATAAAACTTTTATTTGATTGGCAGTGTACATAGTGTGTTACATACGCTATTGTAATGTAAACTAAAGTGGGCACTGACACATCCATATTCGATCAATAATTTAGTGTTTCTTTGAAAAGAGTCAAAGCATTTATATCATTGATTTCAACGTTAACTTAAACAAGCCTTATAGAAATTCATATAAAGACCCGTTRACACTTGCGATTTTTTCAACGCGATTGTCGCGCGACAATCGCGCACCTCAAATCGTACGTGTAAACAGCCCTGCGATTGTCGCGGCGATCGAAAATCGCTGCGAGTTGCATTTCAGCATTTTCAAAACTCAGGCGATTGTCGCGCGACAATCGCGCTTCAAAAATTGCAAGTGTAAATGGGCCTTAACGGAGAATAAAAACGATATTTTGCCGTCTTCACTACTTTTAAAATATTTTTCATTTAAATTCAATATATCCTGGTCTTAAAATTGTGAGATTCCTCGGTGAAAGTTCTGCATTACAAAACTACAGGTGCAAACAATTACAATATGTAATATACTCATGCATTTTGAACTTTATTGAAAGGTTTTACATGCCTAAAAATGTAAAATAAGACACTTAACCCGTGCACTACASTTCGAACCACCGTGACATACCTTTCAATGGAAATATGAACTGATGACCTGRCCGAATTGCTTGCCTCGTACATATGGGTATCTCAGCTTTTTTGACAGATCAGAATCAAAAAACGCGCACTGATGTCATCAGTATATTTATATACACTATTAGGATTGGACAAACACGGTTACATTTCACGGATAAAAACTGATTTTTATTTTAAYTATTCGTTGAATTCATATCATTTCTTGTGGTAAAATGGTGCAATATACCAAGATGACAGCGTTTATTATCACTACCGTACTAAGATAAAATTTACACGGAAAAGTTCTCATTATGTATCCATGGCAACAGGTTCGTGTGTTTGCTGAACGGTTGGTGTAGGCACCGTGGGCTCGTATGACCATTTCGGAAAAACTCTCTTGTATAAATTCATACAGACCGTATCCTGTGCTTTGAGGGTTCCYTCAAGAACACATTTCATGTGACCATGGGTACCTTAAAAGAAAGAAAACACTAAAAACACTAAACTAAACACTAAACAGCAATGGAGCAACTTTTATGAAAGGTAAATGAACAACAAAAGCTCCAGACTATTAATACATAATACTAGAGCAAAATATATAAGCGGTTGTAGCCCCCTCCGCATCCCCCTCCAATCTTCCTCTTTTTNACCACAAAAACAAAATGCAAGGCTAAACCGTAACTCTGTGCAATTCTCCAGCAGATTGCTTTGCAACACCGTTGCGAGAAACTGAGTGGCAAGCACTATTGCACCGCAGTACAACAACACCTTAAATAGGAGTCTTTTACCGATACCAACCTTGTGTTTTTCCCCTTTCGTGTACTGACTGATGATAGGACAAGCTGTAAACCGTCGATATCCACAGTGAAATACCAGACGCTCCTAAAACGATAAAAACTGCGTGATCAATGACCGTTTAAGACGTAAAATGTTACATGTATCAGTCGAGTCCATGTAATGAAAATATAAATGATAATGAACCGAAACCATGAAATACCAGACACTCCTAAGGCAATAAAAACTGCGTGATCAATGACCGTTTAAGACGTCGAATGTCACATGTATCGGTCGAGTCCATGTAATGAAAATATAAATGATAATGCACAGAAACCAAAAGATTGGAGAAGGTTGCAATCACTGAGGGAAACATCAAGACACAATGTGCTTCCACGAGTATCGGATGAAGATTAAAGATAAATGTGATTCTCTTCAGCGTTTTCGCCTACCTTCGATTTGACTGGTTCTGTGTAAGATGGAATTCTTTTGACGGCAAAATGAACCACAGACATTTTTTGTTCATGAGGGAGAAGGCCAAACACAACCAAAGGCTTGCATGGATCATACGAATCTGTACAAATAAGAATTACAATTAAACAAACAAAAAAAGCAACAAAAACAAACCAACAAAAAATGAAAACAACAGAAAACAAACAAAAAATGAAAACAACAGAAAACAAACGAAAAATGAAAAAACAACGAAAACAAACCAACAAAAAAGAAAACAACAGACAAACAAACAAACAAAAAAAGAAAACAACAGAAAACAAACAAAAAATGAAAAAACAACAAAAACAAACCAACAAAAAAAGAAAACAACAGACAAACAAATAAAAATGAATGATTGAAAACATGAAAAAACAACAGCAAATAAACAATCATCAGAGTAGTTGGAACGTACAGTACTTTAATATTATCATATTATTATTATATTGTTATTATATTATTGCTGCGAACGAAGTGAGCAGCGACACTAATCTCGCAGGCCTTTTGGGGTCCCTGTGCCATACATACATACTGAAGGCGAAAGTCGATTTCGTGGGCTAGCGATAGACACTTCGAGCCTACAGTAAACATTACATAATCAGCGGTTATTATCAAATGATGCGCCGTAAACTGCATGGTCTTTCTATTGCTTTTCGATCTCTTGCAACGGCAAGTTCGACAAGTATTCAGCATGTTAAATGCGACTTTATTTATTCGAGGAAGTATTTATCAAGGTGATAATCGTTTTAGCGACATTTCTAGAGGAAGGCAATGTGCTTTTATGAGTCTTTCAGCTTAAGTTATCTGCACATTGTGATGATGTTTCGACGTGGACGACAGATGCGATGGATTGTGTTTTGGCCGAATGAGATCTTTTTAACAGCATTCGAGAAGCGCTCTATGCCTGATGAAGGGACTATTTCTCTGAATTATCTGCCAGGTCGAGTCCTTTGGTCTCCGATGACATAACGTCCATCGCACATTTAGGCAAACCAGCCAAACCAATCGCCCGACGAGGCAAACAAATCAAAACAATCGCCCGAAAATAAATAAAAAATTAAAAAAATACAGTCTGTAATAAAGTGTACCTATACGTTCTAGTCTTCTTTCTTTTTGCCAAGTATTCTCCCTCCATAAAATCAAATAAACCTAAAACCAATTTGGACAAGCATCACAGAATTTACATATCGCAGCACTTCACTTTCGATAGGAACCGCTAGTATAGTTTAATATTTCTCCAGCATCCTTGATATGGTGTAACGCCTTAAATTGTCAAGAATATAAACAATTCGAATGACAAGTTTGAATGCATCTCGTCAGAAAACATCAATTTCATGTATAACATAAAGCTACAAAATTAACAGCCAATTAAAAACCGCTTAAGTCACCCAATAACAGTGTCATCTCCACGACGACTGCCTGTCTACCAACATTGTCCTGCAGACGAGGATGTGCTTCTCGTCATAACGAATTTATGAGTTGTTTTYTCAGTCGGTTGAAACACTTTCGTTTTCGATTCTATGGAAACTAAATGTCGAGCCAAGAATCCCAGTAACTCGCTTTATATAGATACAATACAGTGTGACAATGTAAACTTATTAGCTGAAACCTCGTTGAAAAGCCGAACTTAAAAAAAGATGAACAAGACACAAATAAAATACATAAATTAATAAATAACTAAGGTGCAAAAGTCATGTTTTAACTCATTTGCATTAGAAGCGATACCTAGTTCCGTAGTCCTCTTGCACTTTCAAAAATTACAACTTCAGGATTACATTCCAATTCTCTTAAATCTATAAAAAGGTTGTTTTTAGAAAGAAATTTTGAAAAGATTTTTACACTGGCCTAAAATACTCTTGAATAAGAACTTGAACATGCCAAAAATAAACCAAAAGACTGATAGCTTATAACTACTAACTGCATTTGCGTCTGATCAACTTTGCAAAACCTTCTAATTCTACCGAGACATTACACATCATAAATTGCAACTTGCTTTCTGATWCATTGGGAGAGTGAGTTAATGGAATATTTTGACGTTAGAGTGCTGTTCGTGAATGTTTTCAGTCCTTACGAAGGGTGAATAGGTGCAAGTAATTTATCATATTGTTGACATCCAAAGTCTCCTTATTAAAAATAACGCACGCTAAAATAATAATGACTAAGATTAATACTYAACTGAATGTCAAAACACCTGCGCCATTGATAAGAAAACGGCAAATGGTTTAKCATCGGCAAACTCGACAAAAACAAGACGTCAATAAAACCTTTGCTTAGAGTGACTCCTACAGTTAGGCAGCCAAACGAAACTTTTTATGAACTCGGGAATTTTTATTATCATTTCAATGATTTCAAGCTGTTTTCAATCAAAGGATAGAGATTCAAAAAGAGAAAAGACGGCGCCTCACTGCTATTCTATAATGGAGATTCTCGTCGCGCGATTTGAGGCAGCTGTATTTTCATAAACCAACAAGTATATTGCACGAATTTTTACAATTTTGTTAATCATTATCAATCTATTTCAAGGTGATATATGATAATAAAAAGGTTTTTAATATTCGTAGGAAGAATTAGTGTAATTCTGAGCGGTAGATAAATAGCGAATTTTAATCTTAATGACATTGTAAAGAAGTTTTGCAACTTTAAGTTGAATATTCTTGCAAAGAAATTATGAAACGATATGTAAATACCTGTTGTTTCCTGATATACGTCTGAAAAACGTTAAAATTACGATTAAATTGCTTAGCCTTCGTGTCGTCATCACCGTCGTAGTTGGCATCTCGCAGTTGTTCACAATAATAATCTCTAATCCTTTCAATATCAAAAGCAATAGAAAAAGTTTCTTGTGTAAAMATAAAAAACGAACTGAAATCCTTCGTGTGTAACGCTATCCTCGTGTATTCATGTTCACCTCGCGGAAGGAAAAAAAACTTCGCGCGTTCTTGAWTTAAATCGAATCGATTCCTTTAATACTACCTAACTACTTAGTGGAACCTGCGTAATTTGTTTCTACATGATATTGTTTTTAACGATTTTTACATTAGGAGTACAAAATAGATGCAAAATTATGCTAATTTCRGATCTAATCAACACTGTCTATAAAATGTTCTGAAATATCTATTTCATGGTTTTCGTGACCCAGGAGACTGCGCTGAGGGATGGAGGATTCAGCGAACAACCAAATGTATATATAAAGCTTATGTAAATATTCGCACATTTTTTGTATCACTCAAATTTGACATTCAGGTCAAAAAAGAGACATGACGATTCAGTGAAGAACGTTGTATATTATACCTACTAACGACCATAAAAGTACAGGATTCGACGTATTTACTCAACATTTCTTATTTTTCTCAATTGCGAGCACGAAAGAAGTGGTTCAGGGATTTTTCCCGGGTTCTGAATACTACGAGGAGGTATTTCCATGTGTGCTTCACCAWATTTCAATGTTAAAATCTTCTTCCAATCATWTGGKACGGGCATCTTAAATCCCTCAAACTCAAGASTGCTCAGRGGRAACGCTCTAAAACGAGTCTGATAAAAACGAAGTTTCCACCATATATGTTCCATCACATRTGAAAACTGAATATCATAAAATCCTTCTTCGGAAAATGAAACAGGAAAAATATCAATCATAAGTCCATCYTGCCAACATCCTTTCTTTAAACAARTGCCAAAACAGCTCCCATCGTCTCTCAATCTTGGGTTCCAGGGAGATCTCATGGCCCTGGCTAAGARTTCTCTATCATTTGTGATGTAGTATMTTTTATTTTCTTTCGTTTTCCGTAAATACGAAGCTTCTCTAGTGTGGTGCTGAAGGGTTAGCTTTACAGCTGATAATTCAGAGGAAGCCTTCCGAACAAATTCAAGGTAGTCTTCCAGGGGCATTTCAATATCTACGTCAGTATCCCATGGGATATGTCCACGGTGTCTAGCAGCACCGAGTAGCGATCCTCGAGTCAGCCAATACCGGAGTCCGTGTTTCTTCGTAAGAGCATCAATAACCAGCAGCATTCTTGTAGTTACAAGCTGTGCTTGCCGTAATTTGTTATCACTCATTGTMCGAACATCGGGGCATTTCCATCTACCACCAMCATACAACAAACAATCGCCGAATTCCTTGTATCTGATGTTTTCCTTGTCGAACAAGACGCTGCTCCTTTCCTCCTTTTCCTCTTTCGAAAAMACGACSAAATTTATGAATATAACAAGTATAAATCCTAYAAAAATCCATTTAAATTTTCTCTTAACTCGTTGATTAAACCGCATTATGAATTATCGTTGTTTCAAATAAGCCACACATTAGAGGCCTTCACAGGCKGATAATCCTGCCCAGGGATACTGTAAACGAATTGTAACGCAAAAAGCCAAATARGTGGAAGTCACACAATCTTTGACACAGTCGGACCTTTTACCATAGAATCCTAAAGAGTTATGTCACTGACTTTTAAAATACAACACAAGAAATGTTATACAAAGCGGCCGCTCGATGAAGTAGTTAGTGCACARATAGCCATTGATGACATCATATTTTTGGGATCATATTTCAGATAGAATTTTTTGACAGGTAAATAAAGTACAGGTCACGTTACAACCATCTCCCTTTCAATGGAATCGACACCAAAAGGTCATTAATCACCTGCCTAGAAAAACAAACTAACCACCCTAGATATGGTTTCTTTCAGGCAAAAGTAAAAAAGACCTAGTCAAAACAATGAAACAAATAAAAGGTTTTCCACTGGTATCCCATTTTATCAATTTTTTTTATTAAACCCTCAAAAATCGAAAATAAGCCGGACACGTTTCGTTTGTAAGAGCGCTGGCTAGACTGAAATAAGAATAAAGATTCTATGAGAAAATATTGACGAGGTTACTATTCTGTCTATAGAGTCTTTCAACAAACACATTGTCTGTAATCGCTGTACCGTTTCGCAGATAGTCACGCAAATAACAGAATGTCAGTGCTTCCGCGGGGAAACCCTAGTCCGGTATACTACGTCATCCGAGATTCACGATGTTGGAAATCAATTCACGACTCCATGTATAGTAACCTATTTTCACCGGTCTCTCTCGCGCTCAAAAGGGATGAGCATGGGCATCTGCAGCCGCGATGAGGGGAGAAAGCGAAAGTGGAACNCCCCAGCGACCATACAGGACAAAGTTGAAGGCGTACCACGTTCTTATATAGTCACAAACGATGCAGGAAGAACATTGAGAAGAAACCGCAGCCACATCAGGGAATCAACCGAAGTTACGAAAGTCCCAGAGCAACTCCGGATAACTGCAGAATTACCCAAGACAGAACAGCCAAGAGAAGCCATCGAGACAAAGACTAGGAGCGGAAGAGTTGTAAAGCCACCATCCAGATACGGATTTTAAAGAACTGATCTAAATGATCTATGAACTGCTAATGTTGAGTTGTACTTAAACACATGTAATTTCACTTTATTAGAAAACGGGGGATGTCATGATTATGTAATCACATGTTACGCGCATGCGTGTGTAAAATGTGTGCGTGTGAACCGCGTGTGTAGAAAGCATGCAACATGTACCAGTACGGTTATTTCTGAGTTATTAAAGCCTCCGGAACTCTACGATTCGTTATTATTACACAGGTCACGTTACAACCATCTCCCTTTCAATGGAATCGACACCAAAAGGTCATAAATCACCTGCCTAGAAAAACAAACTAACCACCCTAGATATGGTTTCTTTAAGGAAAAAGTAAAAAAGACCTAGTCAAAACAATGAAACAAATAAAAGGTTTTCCACTGGTATCCCATTTTATAAAATTTTTTATTAAACCCTCAAAAATCGAAAATAAGGACACACTTCGTTTGTAAGTGCGCTGCCTAAGAATAAAGATTCTATGAGGAAATATTGACGAGATTACTATTCTGTCTATAGAGTCTTTAAACAAACACATGTCTGTAATCGCTGTACCGTTTCGCAGATAGTCACGCAAATAACAGAATGTCAGTGCTTCCGCAGGGAAACCCTAGTCCGGTATACTACGTCATCCGAGATTCACGATGTTGGAAATCCATGTATAGTAACCTATTTTCACCGGTCTCTCTCGCGCTCAAAAGGGATGAGCATGGGCATCTGCAGCCGCGATGAGGGGAGAAAGCGAAAGTGGAACTGTCACGGTACTGGGGCTGACAATTTTGACCACGAACAAAGCATTCAACCAAGGAGTCAAGAAACAATGACACAGATATTTTCTTAAAATGTTCACTGCACCTTGACACATTGTTGATGAGCCTCTCAACTAGCCTGATACTACTAATGAATGGGGGTGACCTACGTAGCACGCAGTTGATGTAATGTATTCATAAAATGTATTGTATTCCATTGTTTCTCGTTCTATTGTATTATGTGTTTTGTATTATATCTTTATGAATTTATTACATCAACTGAGTGCTACGTAGATTCTCCCCTAATGAATGTCACTTCGCCCCAATCCCCTTCGAGAAAGCCTGATACTAGACCATGGAACATCGTGAATCAATTCTTCTTCTTCATACAATACACAATATGACTTACCAATGAATGCTTTGGGGACGTTGATTATATGAACTGTGATATACCAGCCTTCCTAAATAACAAATTAATCAGCTCTTATGAGGAAAGATTTTATCGTTGTTCTAACACTTATGGGTTGGTTTTCTAAAATCATTGTCTGTTTTCATATACTCTCAGTTAATCACGGCCTTGTKTTTTTTGTTTTCTCTCAGTCCGTTTGTTTGACAGTCGCTTGTTTGTTTATTTCCCAAATAGAGGGATGTTGTCCAGAGTATTTTGCCCACTTTTGAAAAAACACGGAAACTGATGGAGTAATGCAACAAAATGGCGGTTTATCGGCAAGACTTACATCTACATGTGAAAGGCATATATATTTCATTTTACACACAAAAAAGCTTTTTGTATATACTTTGGTAGGGAGTTGAAAATAAAAATATCATGACACAGCCATAAGGAAAACGATAACTTTTCAGTACTTTCCTAACTTTTTGGATTTTGCGCAACAATCAAAACATCGCACATCAAAAAATTTGGGTTGCCAGTAGTTACCGGGCGTATTCCGAGTGTGCGCAGTGCGTTTCTCCTAGTGTCGATCACACACATACAATCGCTATACATGTCGGACTGCTGTCGGACCGTTGTCGACCTGTTCTCGGAGTGTTGTCAGACTGTTCTCCGAATATCAAGTTTGTCCATTTGCTATATAGAGGATATTACATGGGCGCGCGGAGATACGAATTTTATCTTTGAGTGTTGAAAAGATTTTCAACACGAGAAGATAAAATTCGTATCCCCAAGCGAACATGTAATATTCTGTTTATCATATAATTGTGTATATAAAAGCAAATTATGCCGTAAAATACCTTTTTTTCTTAGGTCTACTATATAGAGAAACCTCGAATGTGATATTTTCACTAGTGAAAATAACATGTTATTTTACGGAATGGAGAAATATAGGTATTTCATAGATAATTATATGTTCTCTTTATGCGAGTATASATCAAGTTGTACTAACCAATGCCCCTTCGATTTCATCTTCAACCATGACTCTCTTTCGCGTCCTATTAAAATTTTGGAACTGGAATATCCTAAAACCAATCAATAAAGTTTAAGATACGATAGTTTAAAGTGATTCATTCAATATTAAAAAAGTTTTGCTGCTTCACCTGGCATAATCTGTGGGAAGGTTTTCTTTTGGATCCCATGGCGACGTTCTAAAACTCTTGAGACCTCGAAACCTAATAAAAAGAGACAAACGAATGAATGACCGATAAATATGGACAAATGATCCCAGCACACATGTCTATGGATATAAGAAATCAGCAGAATGAATGATAAGACGGATGGATTGATGGGTAAAAAAGTYCCGGAATCCGAGATAAGAATCGCAAACTCTCCGACACTCAAAACGACGGTGGACAAATAGCCAACTTTCTATACTTTGGTTGACCAATTACTGACAAAAAAGACTATTGAAACAAGGTTCAGAGAAAACAGTTCTTTTGTTTGCAATGCATTGTGAGMTCAGGAGAAAACAAAACAAATGCGTAAACATAGCATTGCATATATGGTATCATATATGGTATATGAGGTAAAAGCTTTAGAGTCTTATTGAAACCTTTCAACCATTCAAGTACTYGGCTTGCGTATTGCGAGAAGGCTATGCAAACCATTTGCTGTTTACCATAGCTACTGCTACTAATTTCTTACTTTTGAAAACGAACACGTGCGGCAACATCCATTGGTGTGTCGATCTCATCCGGGAACATTTCATTTTCCCGCTCTGATCGAAGTTTTTCGAGCCTGTAAAGKAAAAATTGAGCATAATAAAAGTCAATGTTGGGAAATAGTAAAGATTATTTATTACAAGAAAAAAATATCCCACATTTTCTAATTGCAAAATTTCGCTTGAATTCTGGAACTTTAGGTGGTATCCATAGCAAGACGTGGGTAGACTGGATACTAACACAGGAATCCCAAGAAAGTAAACATACTTACTGCTTTCGTTCTTCATCGATGTCAATGTCCTCGTCATATTTAGTATTGTCAGTTTCTGGTCCTGATACACTTAACTGAAAAAAATAAATGTTAAATAAATAATGCAAAAAAATGGCATATATAAATATGGACAGCCTACAGCACAAGTCCTCGTGTGGTGGGGAGTTGATTTAACTCGATCGTCTGCACAATACAATAGTCTCAGGATTCCTGTGGTCTTGAGTCCCGTTGTATGAAAATTTGTAAAGTCACCCACCACAAGCTTTATGGATTTGACCCTAAATGTACAACTGGCCCTTGGAAAAGGGCACTTGTTAGCCAACTATAAAGATTACAACATCGTATGAGGATGCTATTTATACATTTTTATCATATGTTATTTTACCGTTTCAAAGTCTTCTTCGTCTTCCATTTTCTGCAAGAGTGAGATAAATATATGAATAAACGAATGAAAGAAAAAAGAGAAAAGGGAAAACGCGAAATTCCCGTTATAAGGTTGCTATTGCGATCGAAGTAAAAAAATCACCAAAAAACGAAGTATTCATTAATACTGACAAAATACTCCTTTTCCAGACGCCAGCCGTTGAAAGGTAGCCGTACTTTTTCATCAAGACAAGACAGGAAGCTTACTAGAATTTAATACAGTTAGTCTAATGACTGGATCACTGGAAAAAATCGCGCGCTTTAAAGGTTGTAAATTTGATGTAAATATGATGTAAGTGTCCAAAATTCTGTAAATTTAATGGAAATAATTTACATCAAATTTACAGAATTTTGGACACTTACATCATATTTACATCAAATTTACAACCTTTAAAGCGCGCGATTTTTTTCCAGTGGATATGGCTGGTGCTTCATGTTGCAGCATTGTAAATATATCAAAACCAGAGAGTCGCTTATCCTTATACTGAGCTTCAGTTACTTCAGAAATATTATCGTTATCACTTCTTGCTGTTGTTATTGTTGATAATGATGTTGTTATTGTTGTTCATGATGATGTTATTGTTGATGATGATGTTGTCATTGTTGATGATGTTGTTTCTGTTGTTGATGATAATGTTATTGCTGTTGATGTTGTTATTGTTGTTGATGATGATGTTGTCATTGTTGATGTTGTTGCTGTTGTTGATGATAATGTTATTGCTGTTGATGATGTTGTTATTATTGTTGATGATGATGGTGTTGTTGTTGTTGACGTTGCTGTTGTTGATATTATATAATTCGACATCATTTTATCTTCACGACGGTCCAAAATCGTCTCTTACATAAAAATAAAAAAGAACCGTTCAAAATCGCCATGATTTACGACGCGTGATTCACCGACATAAAAGATAAAGTCGTAAATCCCCACTCTGTAAACACGGCGACACTTTGAAACGTACTGCACACAATAACTTTATATGAACATCGACCAAAAATAGCGAAAAAAGATTATTTTATCTTTTATCAAGCTCTTGAAAAACTCACTGATTTTAAACTGCGTTTTCAAGAGTGATGTGTTCCATTTAAAGGACATCATGAGTTGTCACACTTAACTTGTTTGCGTATTATGACTTGTATAAATCAAAGAATAGAAGAGGATTTGTCTAAACAGACTTCAAAGCAAACTTGACCGGAAAGATAAATCAACAACAGAGGGGTTGTATGTTTTAATGAAACACCGGAAAGCTACAATACATCTCAGAAAGAAAAGCAAACAAACAAAACCATCGACTGTGCACCTGTTCACCTATTCAGAAACAAAGCCAGCCTAAGTTAATTGGATCAATAATTACTGAGGAAATAGGATCGCGCAGTTAATCAAATCCATACGACAGACGACTTCTGAGCCTTGAGAAATTTTTASCATAAGAAATTAGTTCTAACAACTAAGAATATCTTTTCTGGTTCTTTGCGAAGATGAAATGAAAGAGAAAAAAAAACAATCTAAACAGGTCTGAAGATTCCTGTCATGTAAAGAAGTTGACGACATCTRCCTTTGAAGAGTAGAAAGGACACAGAGGGAAGAACCGTTGAAATAAAATAGAGAATCGGTCTACTTTGAAGTTGCATTCAGTTTAGAGCATCTGTCTTTTGGTATCTTGACGTCAACAGTTTCTAGGGTGTCKATTGAAAATCGAAAAGAAGGGAGATCAGCAGCTTGCACAACTTGASTTTGATTCCCTGATAAAYCAAGTCTCAGATCATTCAAGATTCTTGAAGAAGRACTGCTTTGCAGAAAGATTGAGTAGAGAGAATTGACAAAGATATCTAAACAAAGACGAAAGAAACGGAAGAAAGTAACAAGAAGTGAAAGTTTGCACTTTAGAGCTAACTGATCTGTTACCGACTCTAAGTACTTTTAGTTCATATCAGAATTTACAAACACTATAAAAACAATTGATATGGAGTGGAGTTTAATGAATAATGTAAGTTTACTGGATAATGACACCATGAAAGATAATTCCACGCATGGACTATCCGTGTATCCGATKTGGTACTGGACCGCTCGAGGTGTTATCTCCTTCGTTACAGTTATAGGGAACGGATTGGTCATATACTTGGTGGTCACAAGACGGCATCTTCGCAAACAGGCGTCGCCGACTTGGTTTATTCTCTCATTAGCCATTGCAGATTTGTGCGTTGGTTTGTTCAACGTTCCATCGTCAGTGGTGTGTCGATATTGGGCGAAGTGTAGTTACGTTACGTARTTGATCATCAATAACGTAATGGACGTGTTRATGATTGCATCAGTCGTAAACCTGTGCCTTTTAACGATGGACAGATACTTTGCTGTCKTACATCCATTTAAATACATCAACTTCGTGCACTTAAAATCTCGKATATGGATGCTAATTCTCGCTGCGTGGARGGTATCCATTCTCAAGGGACTGCCTTATTTCACGTTTAAATTGCTACGTTACAAACAAGCGTTATTTTACGACAGCATTGCGTACATGTTGTTGTTTACGGTAGTACCTAACGTCGTAACACTAGTAGCTTACGTAAGAATCATTGTTGTAATCAAAAGACATCGATTAAAAATCGAAGAACAAGAGATGCAAGTCGCATCTAACATGAAAACTAGCGATACTAACAGGTCAAACGCCAACAGAAACGCCCAAGTTAACGTAGCCGTTGTAGCCGTTGGCATTCTCAATGTTATATTCTTAGTTTGTAATGGCTTCTTTCAGTATTACCTTACTTGCAAATTGCTTGAAAGCTGCGTTGTTGCGCGCGAATTTCGATATGCAACGTTTTTGTTACGCTACTTTAATTCCGCTCCAAATTTTTTCGTCTACGCGTTGGCGAAACGTACATTTCGTCAGGAAATCAAGACAATGTTTTCGACAGGACAGAGTGACAGTCTTCAATTCGCATCAAATACGGCCGGATTTTAGACGTGAAATATCGCAAACCTTGCGTAACTTTACGTATCTGAATTGTACAGTGTAGAAAACAATAACGTACTGGGGCGRAGCATCCATTACGCAAAGACGCACGTGCGTACTTGCGATACTACATTTTCAAATGTTTGGGAATAAATTATTGTATRCATAAATTGTTAATCAAAGTGAAAAGAATAATAAAAAGAAAACAACAGTCTACGTCGTGTTCTAACTTTATTTTACGTTTCAAACAGATGTAAAACGCTACTTTTMTTGCAGATGGTTTTGGARGTCATACGGAATCGTTCCAATTTGACTACGCTACGCCCCTGACATAGCAATAAATATAGAACGGCATTGTATAGAATCGGATATGAACACAGTGCATGGTAAATAATTCAGTTACATTATACGATGTATAATTAATTCGAAATAAAACACGATGAGTACGACTAAGCAGTCTTAGAACAGTTTACGTACGTTTTACGTGCGTGGTACTTGRTATACTGTACCACCTGCGTTGCGCTGAGTAAATATTGTTCGCACTGGTTAATAAAAGGGAGTATCTGTGCGGTAAAATACGCGTCATCGATAGCCATTTTATCTCTCACTTAATATTGTTGATACAAACAGACCAATCAGAGCAATCTTTTTTGACAACCTTCATAGTGCAATTCCATTTTGATAAGTGGTCTTCTGACGTTAAGAACTCGATGATCTAATTATCGATAGCTACACAAATATAGCCAAATAGATCAAATTCGTATSTCCTTGCGCCCATGTAATATCCTCCTTATCGATAGATGGCATGATTGAGAAATCGCGCGGGCCTTCGCCAGATAGAGAGACAGGTGCTAACATAACCAGACTGATTCGTCGGTACAGCATTCCCTTGACAGTCTGTGAATTGTGGCCTTTTTGATATATTATAATCACGCTCGTTTTCGACTACATGTACATTAGCATTAAGAATTAAACGTTTAATTTGTCCATCGGCTTCTATTAAATTCGATATATGAGACGTCAACACGAACGCTTCTTATCATCAAAGAAGACGGTTCATTCACAGCTTTTAGAGAGTGTTTTTTTAAGACACGGATKTATATAGCTTTGGCTCAAATAACTTAAAAATGTAAGGACGTCTACTAGATTCATACACAATAACATCCCTTACTTGCGGCGCATTTGGACGTTTTCTACGGAAGTGCAGAAAAACTCAGTGGATGGAATTCAAGGTAGTACATACTAAATCTAAATTGATTTTTATAAAAATTCCTAGTGTGATCGCTTCAATTTAGTCAAAGTYCTTACCATGCTTTCATCGTCATCATCGTCGTCACCAGGCCCTTCGATATCCCGGATAAAATCATCATCATCATGATCACTGCCTTCACTGTTATCACTYTCATCATCTTCARCACCCTCGGRTATCCAGGAWGCTTGGTAATCCGARGTTCCCTTTGGGACRAGTTTCCTGGTATTCTTTTGTGATTCCAGTTGTTTTCTTCTCATTTCTTGATTACCAAAAAAATCGGATGTTATTTTAAAGAACTAGTTCTTAGACATGTACTGATCTGGCAATAAACAAGTGTCCAAGAAAGCCTTGCTTTAAGAATGCTAGTAGTCTAGTACTACACACTGGAAAAAATCACGCGTCATAAAGGTTGTAAATTTGATGGAAATATGATGTAAGTGTCCAAAATGATGTAAATTTGATGGAAATGATTTACATCAAATTTACATCATTTTGGACACTTACATCATATATACATCAAATTTACAACCTTTAAAGCGCGCGATTTTTTCCAGTGACATGCAAGTGAATGTCATTCCTGTGGTTTTTCTTTGCATTGCAGGGCAAATGTCGTAAAGTTGCAATTTCAGTCTAGCCAAAAACTTGATGAAGTGTTCATAAACTTTTACAGATAAACACAACAAAACTACACAGTTTAAAGATATAAAAACCCAAAGTTTTAAAAACCACATATTTCTTATAAAGTTTCAACTTTTGTATAGCAAGCACTCAGTAATATCAGCTACTATGCCAAAAAGATTTGTAACAGGCGATATTTTTCAATAAGGTGTCTAGAAATCTTACCTTCTGCATTGTTCAGCTCCTCTTCAGTTGGCCATGTCTGTTCTCCMTCCATAGGATCTGGTTCCACTTCTGATTGAAGACTTTCTTGAAATGCTGGGTTAGCTTTATCAACCACACGAATGTCTTCATCCATGGATGTGCTAGCTGAATCATCATCCTAAYAAAACAGAAAAAAGAAATAGTTCAAATAACCATATCCAAAAGTTATTCCAGTGGAAAATATACAATAGAATATTTGTACTGTTCCAGCCTGACTGATCTTCATTTGTCGTTTTAAATAAATTTCATTTTAGTAATTAAGATTAKATAATGATTTATGTATTATTTATTAAACATAAATTTTACATTTTTCTACAGTTTTTGTCATTTATTTGACATGATCATGGTCCATAAGCCTGTTTATTTTCTTGCACTTTGCTAACTAACAGGTTCTGTTTTGACAAGTTGAATTTTTTCTTTTACACAATGCAATCCTCTCGAAAAAAAACATACTTACCACTGACATAAGTAATTGACCAGCCTTTGAAGTTTTTCTCTTGATTTTTCCAGAAAATGGATCAGTAATTGCATCAATCTAAACAAACATGAAGTAAAATATTCAGTAAAATAAGCAATGAAAATTTTCTAAGCAAGAAAACAGTTGTGTAAAAAGATACATGTAACACTGTAAAAAATAAGTGAAACAACTTACTGACGGTTCAGTCGTTCATCCTTCTCTTTAGTCCAACAAAGGATTTATGTCCAAAACGTCAGTAAGTTCTTTCACCCTATGTTTTTAGTGTTAAATTTATCTATTGAAAACTGTTTCTTTAYAAACACTGACCATTTTAAGCAAGAAAACATACTTTTATTGGTCAACAAAAGAACTTGCTTTATGTGTATTGGACCCCCAGCTCAATGAAAAGAATCCCTCAGATCGAATGCACATAATARAGTTAAAGCAATAATTAAACAGTATTCAAAAGATCACTTGTGCAAATCTTGTTAGATAAACCTTTCTGTTGAACTACGACAAGATGATTTCATAGTCACAGACCAGTGTTTAAGTACCTGACCAATTTGAAAATCTCCATATCCAGGKAAATGAACCAATCGATTTGCAGAAAGTGTTTTTCCTCTAAGGTAGCCAGTCACCTTAAGAGTACCCTTGTTTGCATCATCACTGTTTGGCTCAAAGGCAACATTATTGGCCAAAAGGTGTGGGCGATTATCACGGAAGTAGATAGGACGTTGGTGTTGGTTGGCAATTAATCGGAGAGCAATCAAAGCATCCTAAAAAAACAACACCACAATTCTGCTACTTTTAAAATGGTRGTCAGTAAARGATTGAAATACATCTTTTTTTWAAAAWTTAGCAAATTAAAGAAAAAATAAAGACATTTTTTACAGAATGAATAAGCATGCTGTTACTCCTATTTACAGCCACWTTACCTGTGGATTGTCAAGTGAATGCACTTTATCCTTTGTAAATCTACGTAGAAGCAAATGAGCATTTTAAATATTAGTATTTAAATATTAGGTTTATATACTACAAGGCACAAAGAAAATATGCAACAAGAGTATATATTGAAGTAAATAGCATAAAATCATCACARAAATTAGTGCTCACATCAATATAATGACAAACAAGTGTCAAAGGCTGCAACAAAACAAGTCATTTTCTCATTCAAAAAGGAAAAACTACTGGTAACTCTCAGAAAATGAAGTTATAAATAAAMTTGAAGAGGATAAAAAGGTTTTTAAGCATGAACACTCAAGTGAAGAGGATTAATAGCTTCAAAATCATGTATTGTACCTTTTTTCAATCATCTTCATTACTCCTTTCTTGATGTCATTCTTCTTTTTAGCAGGACACTTATCAAGACCCTAACAAATCATATGATATAAGAATTGTGCGAACGGTTCGAAACTTGGGGCGAAACGACTTGGGCAAAAAGTCTTTTGTGCCAATCATATAAAAAACTCAAAGTGGATACATCAAATATGAATTATTAATTAAATAAATACATATAAATACACAGTTAATCAAGAGTGAATTATTGCTTGATTGAAAATAGAACAAAACAAATAAATAACAAATAAAGTGAGCACATTAAAAAAAGTTTCTCTGACCTGTATGACATGAAATGAGGCTGGAAGACCTTGAGCAAATATGGCTGACAGACACTGATCYGTGAARGAGTCTAATGYATTCTCAGCTGAAGTAACYAASACGGCAGTATCTGCAACCTATCATTAAGAAAAACTTATTATATATTATAAAGGAGTAAACGAGAAGTATTTTCATCATGTTTAATCTTTAGATATTTCGGCTACGATCTAAAGATTMAAGATGATCAAAATACTTCTAGTTTACTCCTTTATAATTKAAATCTTTGCCCGCAAGTTTACTGTTYCAATGACAGCAAATCACAATTATTACGGCATTGAGCACTTGTGTTCTTGGAGAACCAGACTTATTTCAAAGTTTTAATTTGTATGTCACCAATTCAAGACAAACAATTATTATACAGGTCAATAATAAAACAGAGCCAGAGACTTATAAACTAATAAAAAATACTATTTTGGATCAGGTTATTATGTCATTGATTTATATTGATTTTTCAATTGAAATAAGATTTCCAGATACTTCATCATTTGGTAATCTTAACATTAGTTCTCATGGACATTAATTTATTGGCAAAATTGTAGGTTAATGCAGATCAAATTATTTTCTGGATCAATGCACTTTTTGTACCAAAAACCTAAGACTTTAAATTACCTTTATGGCATCAAGTATAGCATACAGGTCGCCATGTTGTAGAGTTAATAGAGTAAAGCGCTGTTTAAGTTGTGGTGTCCTAACATACAAATACAAAATTTA